TGAAACCTTAACTTTTTTTTAAGCCTGTGTGTGTATTGTCCTGAATAATTGGAGCTCTGAATGCTTTTAGGATGAAGCTACAAAGTGGGAAAGCATCAGAAAAGTATTATTTTTATCTTCTACTAGATCTCTAACTCTCTTGTTGACTGCATATTGTCTGTCAGTTTGCTGTCTTTTAAAGACCAGTGCGTTGATACCTGATTTGCTCCAAACTGATCTTACTATTTTTTTTTTTTTAAGTAGAGACAAGTTTTCCCTTTCTTGCTGTACGTACTACTGTCCTTGGTAGAACCATGTGTGTGCCTTGGCAAAGGAGGGGGGCAGAATGGTCTTTAAAAGTTTTTTTTAAGTGACCCGGTACATAATAATGTCCAACTCTTCCTCCCTTACTGTGCCTTTCGAAGACTGTCTGTACCACAAACCAGAAACTGAGTTCTGAGGGTCTTGTGCCGCACTCAGCACCATCAGGGACCAGTCCTGTTCACGGATGCTACTGCATCACTAACAAAACACAGTTTATGTCAAATTTTCATTCCCTTTGATTTTTGAGAAGGGTGATGATTGGAGTGAAATGGATTTTTGTTTCTCTGCCTTTCTGCAGGAGCCTAATTTAGCTTTTTCCATCAACATTCCTCTTTATCCTGAAATTCATAGTTACAAATTGGTTGACAGTGTTTCATCACACGATAACAACAATAACCAGGGATGGGAATCAGTTGCATCAAAGTTATTTTGGGAGACCAAAGGCAATCCAAAAACCTATAAATCAGGTTATGAAATTTTCCCTTCAAAAAATCCTAAATGTGGTGGATGGTGATGAAGAAGTCTTATTCCTGACACAGCTCTGCAGTTTATGTGCAGTGTCTTGGGGACTGGTGGAGGAAGGAGGGAGGGAATTGAGGGAATGATAGAGGAAGCCCTTGAAAGCATATTGGGGTGAAATAAAAAGGGTTTGTTTGACAGTGACAGACTAGGAACTGAAATCTCTCAGTTCTGAGAACAGATCTGCTCTGTGATGCAGAGCATGGGTAGGACTCTGCAGAACTGAAGGGAAAGCGGGGTTTGATTATTTATTTTTCTTTTTTTTTTCCCCCCACAGCCTAGGTGTAGCACTTATGGAATTGTATGTTTTTTTGGAAATTTTCCATAGCCTCTGCCTTCCTGGGGGAGGAGGAGAGTAGGGCAGCCAGGCAGCAGTGCTGTGTGCTGCTACCTGGTATTTCAGCGGCGAGCAGTTTGGATGGTTTTGTGGGTGCTGTCAGCCTCTGAAAGGGTCTTTCCTGTGTCCTAAGGAAAAAATGGGTACTTGAACCGCAGCCTGTGAAAAGCTGGCTGACAGCAAGCTGCAGGTATTCTTATTGCCAAATTAAGAGAGAGCTAAAAATACATGAGCGCGTATCTGTAAAGTATAACTGCATTGGAGATCTTACGAGAACATTAAAGGGAAGAGAGACAGTCTGTGAGGTGATCCACGTTAAGGTGGCTCGCTCATACTATACAGAAAAAAAACCTAATCAAAGGTTCTGGTTTCAAAATCAAGTGATTTGATCCAGAGTATCTGAGGAAAAGGACACGTGCAAAGAATTTGGAGATATGTAAAACACTTATTGGAGCGCTGTTTTATGCTTTGTTTTGTTTAGAACCTTTCTACACTTTAAAAAAAAAAGTAACTTTTTTATAATGAAGTAGTAGTTTGGGGATTATTTTTTTTTTTAACTTTCATTAAAATAGAAGCAGCTTCATCTCAAGTAAAGTGCAAAAAGATCAGATCTATCTGAGGAGAAAAGCATTCCTTCCCTCCAAAAACTGCTGCAGATTGAATCCATAATCTGAAGATGCTGCCAGTGGGATGTCAGCAGCACCTTCTCTCTCAGCCTCAGGAAAACAGAGGTGTAAGGTTGCTAACGCTTTTTCCATGGGGAGGGGTCTGCCCCTTTTCACTTGTCTCTACGAGGAGGGTTTGGGCTGATATAAATGACAGTGCTCTGTCTACTTTCCTCATGTAATAAATGTCTCAAAAACTGTGCAGGGGTACGCACAAGATTGTGCAAGCTGCGGTTTTATTTGTAATAGAATAACGTCGTGTTTGCAGCATGTACCTCTGGAATTATCAGGCTTGATTATTGCAATTTGCTCAGACATTCACTTGTTTAGCCTTGTTTCTGTGGAGCCTTGTTCGCTTCAGACGGCGCAGGACAGTAGATCAGCCTGGATCAGAGACTGTCAGCCTCAGCTCTCTAACCCGCTTCCTTATCAGGCGACAAAATTTTTACATTAAGATTTTTTTTCTTTAAAGCCTTTAACTGTGTTAGCTCCTAGTTTATCCTGGTTTCCCTCGAGCGAAAGATTAAAGTCCTAGAACAGCTTCGTGCTTCTGAACTTTTTTACTGAGTTCCAAGAAGTTGATACGAATTGTGGCCAATTTTATGCATTTGTCCTCGACATGGCCGAAGAGAGGGGCTGGGGATAAGCCTGTTGTTGGCACTTAGTGAGTATTTATACTCCACTGTGATATGCAACTTTACAGATCAAAGCTTTTCGACCAAGTGAAGGTATTAGAGTTCCATCAGGACTTCCCTTTACGGTTTGGTATAGGTAAAGACCAGAAATCTCTGATATTTTCACTGCTTTCAGTCATTTATTCGTAGGCGTGTTATTTTGCTGTTTCATGTACGTACCCTGGATTCAGGGGAGTCAGCTGGCAATTGAAAATACTGTAAAGGCTCTGCCTTTGTCTCACAGTGCTTGCTCAAGACGAGATGTGCGTGTTCGTTCCCAGATCTGCCACAGACTTACTGTGGAGCCCTGTGCAGGTCGCTGGATCTCAATGTCATCCTCCTCACCCCCCCTTCATTAACGAGAGACAGATCTTACGAGTCTGTAAGTGGTGTAGGAGCTATGAGAGTAGCATTGATTGGGGAGTAATGGGAAGGCAGCGCCATTTTCTTTTTATACATATTGATAGAAAAAATACAGACCTTACACTTTTGTTATGAGCTTTAGATGTTATGCAGCAGTACTGCTGTGGTACTTTGGGGTGACTGTCCACATATAACTGGATGGCTAATTTCACAGATAAATATATTGTTCCAAAGTATGTAATAGAGGGTATTGCAAAGAGGGGAGCAGGGCTGATATGGTCATATGTCACAATAAGAATTATTATTTCGAACTCAGTGATCAGCCTTGCAGGTGAAACTTGGGAGTTCAGCTTCATAACCCTAGAAAGTCACTTGACTCTACAGTCGCTGCAGTCCACATAAATTCAGCGTGTTCAATGTACACATATGCGTACAGATCCCTGGGACGTCTCAGCTAGCGTAGTATTTAGCCTCTTGTCTTTGTAGCACTAATATCCATAAAGGCACACTGTACCATTGCTTTAAGGATTGTACTAACTTTTGTGTTTTCCTTACGAGACCTTTTAAAAAAACCAAACCAACCGAAAATCCAAACCCCAACCTGTTCATGTTCTAGCTCCCTGAGCCTGCCTGTCTGTAGTGGTGTGTTACAGCATCAACCGAGATCATCTGATAGAAGGTGGGACTGTAAAGCGTTCTTAACAGTGGGTAGTAGAGCATTCTTGATGAGGAGCTCTTGAATTTGCTTTTCTTTGTTAGGAGACTCTATTTGACCTTTCCCAGTCTCTGCATAATAACAGGGTGCCATACCCTGAATTTTGGGGTAGGATTTGCTTGTTGGCAACAGCATTTGTTCCCCAGACTTGAAAAATTCTCATTTTAATATTCAGATGCACTCTAATGAGTAGCTTTTTTTTTAAAAGTTACATTTCTGGCTTTAAAACAGTGAGATAAGCTAATAATCAAACCGCATGTCAGTTCTCTCTTTCTCTCTGTTGCCTGTTTGATGTCCAACAAAGCATCTGCAGGGCTATGATTTTGCTTATTCTAAGAAATGACTTTCAGAGAATTCGTCTGAGTGTAATAGGATGGCAGTTCATGCGATTAACCGAGAGAGACTGGTCTGTAAGCACTTTGGGGCAGTGACCTTCTCTCCCCAGTTACTGTAAAACTGAGGGCAATCAATTTTTGTATGGCGCTCTGGAAGCTGGCTTCGGTGCTCTACGTACTGTCGCTCAACTGTGTTCCACTTTTACTAGTTCCCTCTCTTAAACAGTGGTTCAGACGTTTGAACTGTTATTTAAATGCTCTCTGCTATCACATCAAAAGATATATATACTTAATGGACACTACTGTACTCCTTGTCCCGAGCTAGCTATTGGCTAAAATTGGCATTGGAAAGTGGGCCAGAGGGTTTCTTTATGCATTTTTTTCCCGTTACAAACTAGCAACTCTCTGACCTTGCGTAGATTATTTAAAATCAGATTTTTCAGAAGGTCATTACACTGCAGCTTGTAAGGAGAGATGCTGGTACTGAAATCTCTGGAAATCTGATTGCTTTGTTCATGTGTCTAACAAGAACTGAAATCTTAAAAAAAACCAAAACATCCCCCCAACAGCACCATAATGTCTGTGTCAAAGCTCCCTGAAACTCCGACCCTGTGCTTCTAATAGCTTCAGTCTTGTCTTTAAAATTTGGAGTGCTTTTATATTGTATACAGATAGTGCAAATAGGTCCAAATACGTAGATTTAGCTATGCTTGGCATCATAGATGTGCTGTTTACTTAAATTTTTAGTTGCTAAGTATTGCATATTTTGGGTGAAAGTGGATGACTTTTCAACTGAAGGGTTTTAATTTTTCATTTTAATTTTTTAATCCTCTTTCTTTTCAGCAAAGAAACCAGGCAAATGAGGTGTTAAAGAGAAGCTGTGGAACTTAGAGCAGCGGAAGTTTCTGCTCTCAAATTTATCTTAACGTTGTTTTCAGCTTGCTGTGGACTATCTACGTTATTTCATCCTATCTACGTGACTGCTTTTTTAATGAACTGTGTGTGGGGGGGAGCAGCGAGGTAGAGGAAGAAAAGGGTGAGACTTGCGCTTGAGAGAATATCTTTTTTTCACTCTTGTCTTGTATTTCAGGTATACAAATGCTCTCAGTCCAGCCAGACACCAAGCCGAAAGGTTGTGCTGGCTGCAACCGTAAGATTAAAGACCGGTATCTTCTAAAGGCCCTGGACAAATATTGGCATGAAGACTGCCTGAAATGTGCCTGCTGTGACTGTCGCCTGGGGGAGGTGGGCTCTACCTTGTACACCAAAGCCAACCTTATCCTTTGTCGCAGAGACTATCTGAGGTAGGCCACGTCCTTCTTGCGTTCACTAACAAACTTGCTAAATCTGTTCAGCCCTTGCTATGTAGTCACTATTGCATAAGTGGTACTTGAGGGCTGCAAGGCTGAGTACATGTGGAGGATGAGAAAACAAATACCGCAGTATGGAGATAAAACTAAAATCTGAATCAAAACACACACGTAACCAGGTCACGTGGGCAGTTGCCAGTTTTCTGATGCTGATACTGGGGTCCTGTGCTCAGAGGAGGAAGAGAATAGAGTAAATTTTTCACATTTCCCACAGCACTGTGCTCCTGGGAAGCTGGTGGTCTCCTCCTCCTCCTCCTCCTCCTAGCAGCGCAGTGGTGGCCAGGCGTAGCAGCCTGAAACCACGCGTGTGGTTTTCACCAGCTCCAGTGCAGGGTTTGGACTCTGTGAGGAGTGCTTCACTCGTCTTTGGTTACCCACTTTCATCCTCCTGGTTTGCTAAGGGATTTAATTTGTGGCACTGGAAGCTTTTATGAATGTTGCCATTTAGCTGTTAGAAGCTGGACCAAGGTGACCAACTGTCTTCCTCGTGCTAAATAACCGTGTGGCTAGTAGGATCACATCCACTCTAGTTCTGATTTAACTCAGTGGCCAGGGTGGCACACAGGCTAACCTGTTGCCATTTCTCAGAGACAGCAAATCGTCACCTGATTTTCTGTCATCTTGTTTGCTTGTGGACCTATGCTCGCAAAACTATTTGAGGTATAACTCATAGCAAAGTACTGATGAGCAGCACCGGGCTAGTTTATCTGCAGATCATATGTGAGCAAATAAGGCTACTTTGCAGGAGCTAAGTTGAATTGGAAGTTTAGTCTCCCCAGGCTCTCAATAGTAAATAGAGAGAAAAGACTCCTCTGGGGTGATTCAGAGCCCCTATTTCCTATAGGAGCACCTTTCCTCCGTTCCCTGCAGAGGGGCCCTAATGAGACTAGCGCTCCAGGCCAACGTGAGCATCTGGGAATCTTTCCCCTGCCCCTGGAGTGAAGCCTTTTCCTTTTAAAGGGACATTCAAGTCGGTAATACATTGGGGAAAAATTAAAATTCTCTTTGAACACGTTAACTTACAAGTTCAGTTTAAGCACAGGTACCAAATAGGAGGTTCCCCACACGCTGATCAGTTCCCAAGTTGTACGGCATGGGTAGGTTGGAGCAGGAATGAAGACTAATGTGTTAACAACTATTGGTACTTTGGCTCTCTGCATCACAACCTGTTTTTTCTAGAGTGGAACAAAAACCTCCACAGACGCGTTGTGTGTTTGTTGAGCTGGGGCTGCAAAGCCGGTCGGGTTCTTCAGGCGTGGGCTTGGACTGGTTAGTGGTAACAGTGCTCTGCTACCCATTAAAACTCTGAACTGAATGCAAGATAGTGTTGGGATTTTAGGACAGAGTCTGCATCTTAAAGCCATTGTGTTAAAGCTGCCAAAGAAGTAGGTAACAAAACCTTACTTTTAAAAACTGGCAGGGAACTGTTTGAATAGAAGGGAGTTGTTGTACATGAACCCAGGTCATTTGCGATTTTAAAGCGTGTGTTCTATAGAGAGGGGTCAGAACAGCTTCTGGGGGGACGGTAACACATCTCAATTTTTAAAACCTGTTTTAAGAATCTTTCTACAACAACTGCCTGCAGGATTGAGAAATATCTGTTGCGGCTGTTTGATCCGAGCTCCAAATTTACTGGAGACTTTGAACTTACTGAATCTCCCACGTGCTAGTGCAGCAGATCCGATGTTTTAAAATCAAATGTTTGAAATCAAACCCAAAAGTGATCTAGTAGAAAAGATACGAGCAAAGCATCTCCCCAGCACAGAAGTGCACACACTGTTGCTCTCTGGTCTTTGAAGGTCTAACACAAGTAAATATTTTGCTAACCGATTGTGAAAATTTCATACTAAGTGATTCAGAGAAAGGAGGCTTTATTTTTTTGTCTGTCGTGACCACATTCAAAACTGGTGTTGCAGTTATTTGTTCATAAACAATATTTACTTTTGCACCAGTGAAACCAGCATATGTGAGAAATTCTGCAATCAGCTTTAAGATGTTTCTGATTTTTTGTCTCTGGGTTTATCAAATTGTAATGAAGCTATCTTGTCATGAGCCTTTTTTCAGTGATTCTTGTGAGTGCATAGATTTAAACTTGGTATTTACACTAAACTTCAAACTGATGCACTTAAGGTAATTGCAGATAGTCATTTGCCTCATTGCGTCTTATCTACTTAGTTATGCAGTGAACCTATAAAAGTGATCTTTTTAATGCTAATGTAGAAACTAGTTAAATGTTCTCTAGCTTTGTAGTCAAATAAGCTTTCATATTTAGCAACCCACTTGATATGAATTTAAAGAACAAATTACTTTGTACTAATGATCAGATTAAGGTTCGATTACAGTTTCAAACTATCCTCTTTTTTTTTTCTTTTTAACCATAAAGGGAGTCTTTGCTACATATAAAACTGTTCTAGCTTCCTATTAATTTATGTGGTGCCCTCTAGAGGATATGTGGCTTGCACGATACTATAAAGAGTAAAATTGCTTATTAACTTGTCTCTCTGTGTTCATTATGTCTTTCAATAAGACAGCCATTCTACAGATGCTATAAGCAGTAATGTAGCCAGTTTGGGGTGCTTTAACATTCCTGGTTAAATTTGCAAACTGTGTGATTGTGTCTTTGGCTATTTGCAAAGATAGTTCCGGTATCTCTCCTTTAGAGATGCCTGCCAAAAACCTTAATGCTCCCTCGGCCATGATGCACGCTCTTGTCCGCATTTGAGCCCTGAGGTACCCACGTTGGTGAGCTTTATATAAATACTCTGTCTCTTCAGAACTTCCAAACTTGTTTTGCTTTAACTCTCTTCTTTGGTAAAATTAGTTAGTTTTACTATATTAAAACCTTTTTCTCTGGGTTGGGGGTGGATGAGGGGATAGAAGAAATCTTTAATGAGGTAATGAGCTTGGAAGACGCTTTGGGCGTGTGAGAGGTTGTACCCTGGAATCTGCTTTGTGTAAGTCACTCCAGTGGTTTCAGACGTGGCGTACAACACCAAGGGTATTAGAGTGACCGCAGCAGGA